CAGCCTGAAGATAAGGATCGAGAGCTGGGTCTCTCTGCCTTGTGTCTGTTTATTGAATTTTACCCAGCACACCCAGTCTGGGTTTCATTGTCTTAGTGATTTCTATAGCTGGGAAAGCAATCATATAAATTTTGTTAAAGTAGAGGTACAAGGAAAAAGCCAAGACAATCATGGAATATTCCTCAACCATGAAAAAGAATGAAATCTTGCCATTTGCAACAATGTGGATGGAGCTAGAGGGTGTGATGCTAAGCGAAGTAAGTCAGTCAGAGAAAGACAAATAACCATATGATTTCACTCATATGTGGAGTTTAAGAAATGAAACAGATGAACATAGGGAGAAAAAGAGAGAGGCAAATGGTAGAACAGACTCTTGCTATGAAGAACAAACTGCGGGTTGCTGGAGGGGGGGATGGGCTAGATGGGGGATGGGCATTAAGGAGGGCACTTGTTGTGATGAGCACCAGGTGTTGTATGTAAGTGATGAATCACTAAATTCTAATCCTGAAACCAATATTATACTATATGTTAACTAACTGGAATTTAAATAAAAACTTGAAACAAAAAAATAAATTACACTAAAAAAAATAAAATAGGATGTGAGGGTGATCTGACTAGGACATCTTTCACCCCATTGATTGCCAGCGTCGATTGGGCTGATCTGGCTGGCCAGGCGGGTGTCCCCTTCCTCTCTCCCTGCTCCATGTGCGTCCCTCCCAAAGCTGCACGCTCAGTGGAAAAGGATGACCCTCCCTGATAGAGGAGGACTGTTCTTCTGTCAAGGGTATAGGAATAGCTGCGCTATTTACTCAAGGTCCTCCAAACAAACTCAAGGTCCATTTGTAGGAGAACATAGGGTAGTCAAGTTTCCAAGACTCCAGACACATCTAAATGAGGTGCTGCATGTGGCAATCTGCCTTTCTTTAATAAATAAAATAAAATAAAATAAAATAAAATAAAATAAAATAAAATAAAATAAAATAAAATAAAACAAAATAAAATAACTAGAGGGAGATTGTCTCAGTGCCGGGTGCTGCCCCAGGAAGTCACGAGACTCCATCCCAGGGTAGGAGTTCAGCAAAAGCTGGAAAGTCATCTGCCAGGAAAGCCTTAGAAGGGACATTTGCCTTCCACAGAAAAGGGACGTGGTTACTACCTCCATGTTCACTCTCAACTTTCAACTGCATGATATTGCATGACTCTATGAGAATTAAAGTAATATCACATCATTAAAACATTAATTTGTACCTTTGTGCCTGTCCCACAGTTGAATTTTCAGGAAGCTGATTACATTTCTTTCTATGGATTCAGGAAACCATTATTCCCTGTGATCTAATTTATTGAACGTATTTTGGCCCTTACAGCTTGTCCATCAGTCATCCCTAAACACACTTAGTACAAATGATTAAGATCTTTAGTGTTGATGAACATCACTTCCTAGAGGAAGAGCAATGCTAGCATTGTATAGGGAAACAACCAGCAGGTTTTCAGGACCTGAACTTGTGATCCTCTGCTGGGGAAAATCAGATCTCATCAGAAGTGTTTTACCTGTTGTTAATATAAATATTGGTGTTAAGATGAATTTTGGTGTTAATATGAATGTTGGGGTCAATATTTTTCTTACTGATTTCTTAGTTCCTCCTAACTTTTAAACTTAAAAGAATCTTTGGAACTAAATAAGCTGAAAATATCTTTTAAAAATAAGAAACACATTTAGATTCTGGTGCACAGCAAATTCTCTGTGAAGAAAAGTTCCAAATTTGTGATTCTATTTGCATTTCCATAAACACAGTGAATCTTTGTCTGAGCTTATTATGTGACAAATAACAGTGTTAGAAATGGGATGTTTTAAGACTCTAATTATGCATATGCTCCCATTCTTGTTAGTGCATTTACAACGCAAAGCAATACAAAATTTGTACTTTTGGCTCAAGAGCTTCTTTCTTAAAATTGACAATTTAATGATTTTTTAACTAACATTGGCCTCATTTAATGTAATTAAAATATTAAAAAATAAAAAAAAAGCAAAGTTGCCACTGCTCCCTGGGAACAGATGTGAGATGGAAAGGAGCATGCACCATGTCTGTGAGGGCGTGCTCTCAGGACAGCCACCTGTGAGGGGGAGGGAAGAACTGAGCCAGGAGCAGCATCAGTGATCAGAGAGTTTGGGAGCCAGGCCCCAAGTTCTCACACTCCCATAAGGGTACCAGGTCCCAGGTACCCTTGGGAAGTTGAGGAAGGGGCAGAGACTTCCAGAACTGTAAAGGCCGTACAGTCAAAGACCACAGATGAATTAGGGGTAACTGGTGTGAATGGAAGTCCTTCACCCTGAAGAGGAATCAGGCAGCCCACACATACATTTGGGGCTCACCATAACCATGTTCCCACCTCTCTGACTTGGTTAGCTAAAATTACTTAAATTTAAATAAAAGTAAACCTTTAGTAGCTCAGGTGTGCTAACAGATGTTTGGGAACCGCATGTTGGACTGCACAGAGCATTTCCATCATTGCAGAAAGTTCCAGTGGACAGTGTTGCTCCACCCAGCAGTACAGCCATGTGTCCCAGAGGTCCTGCTGCCTCCCTGAGACACTGCAGGAAGAAGGGACCAGTTCTCATTACCCTAACATCAGCAACCTCTCCCTCTGCTCCCCTCAACTGGACGTGTCCCTGTTTAGTCCCCTCAGTTGTATCTTTTCCTTCATGTTTGATATTAATATGGCTTAATAAAATAGAACGGGGCTCAGTAGCTACTAAACAGTGTTTCCATGTCCTCAAGGATAGGCCAGGAAGGTGGGGGAAATATTTGTATTCATCACACTAGTTCAGTTAAAGAAAAGGAGGAAAACTCATTTAAGTTTTCATATTTAAGTAGTGTAAACACATACCTTACCAACATTAACATCTGAAAATATAACATCAATCATTAGCCAACAAGAAATTAATGGAACACAAAATTATGACATTAATATATTTTAAAGCGTAGCAAATAAAACATGTTAGAATCAACCTCTTCCAAAAAACAAAACAAAAAACCCGTGTTTGATGATAATAGAATCTGCTTCATTGGGCAAACCTTTCCATGAGTCACCTCCTTTAATTATTCAGTAAACATTGCACTGGTAGCTTTAGTTGCTGATTCTTCCACGGTATTCTATAAGTTTTTGTTCTGCAGACTCTTTTAAAACGCTTCTGAACAAACTCTTCCAGACTTGAAATGGAGTGTCCTTGGTCCCTGCAGTATTCACTGCTCTTTCCTCCCAGGGTCTCAGCACAAGTCTGGCCATTGCACAAACCATGTGTGGTACTTACAGGTATTTTTCCCAGTCAAGTATTCAGTAGACACACTGAAAGGGTGGGGTTCCAGCAGATCTTTCCTTTCTGCATCGTACAGGGGCCCTTCCATGAGGTCTAGGGGAAGGGAAGGGCAAACCCTATTGCATCTGCCTCTGCGTAAGGGAGCTGCATGAAATCACACCCACAGGTGGATTGAATTGTTGTCAAGTATAATAAATATACAACTGCACTGTCTAAAACACTGGTTCTATGCCATAACATAGAAGGATTACCATCAAGGGATGGTTATCCATCAGGCATTCACCTCCCCAAATTTGATTCTACCGTCCCTCAGATTAGGATTCATTACTTTATTTCTTTGTTCACCATTCATTTCCTTAAACATTCATGTGACAAACAACGGGATAGGCTTTCTGGGGCTCTGAACGATGGGACATGCAACCAAGAATCGTTAGTCACATGGGAAACAGATTACCCCATCTAACAATTGGATTAAGTGGACAGCGCTCTGATTCAGAGGTTTGGTAAAACTTGGATTGGAGAATCTAGCTTAAGATTGAGACTACCTTGGGGCTCCTGATTCCCTTCCCTGAGCCTGCAGATGGGAGTGGGGATGGTGACCAGACCCTCAAAGTCCAAGTCTGGTCTGTTTCTTCATGGATCTGACCACTGCTGTGCAGTAAGTGAAGTCTCAGGCCCAAAAGAGAAAGGGCAGGGATGTCCCTCACCTGCAGAGGAGTGACCCTGCCCACCAGTGAGATGTGGCCAGTAAATGAAGTACTTCTTCCCCAAAGAAAAATGATTAGGGTGGAGAGGGGAATGTACACACTCCAGACCTCTCTCTTCCCTGGAAAGAAAAGGCAGGAGCCCCCGTCTTGGTCAGTGGATGAAAACAACACGAAAAGAGGAGTTTTAAAATTCCTTCTCTCCGCCTACAAATAATCCTTGTCTCATAGGAATACTGGGAGTTAGGAGTTAAATAAAACAAGTGAACTGCCTCATATTGCCAGGCATATATGTCCAGCGTGGTGTCTGGGTCTAGTAAGTGGCCCCATGTTCTCTTCTGCCCCCACACTCTTGTATCTTTGAGCTTCCTAAGGGAAAGGTGCTGGGTGTGAATAATCTTTGCTGTATGTCTGTTGGATTAAATCAGTTTTATTTATTGAGAACTCAACATCCTTAGCACTGAGCTTATTTGGTTTAAAAGAAGTGGAAGAATTACAGAATTTTTCATACCAGAAGTGGCCTTCGAGCTCATATCTCATGGGGTTCAGTGTGCTGGGAAGGTTGGGATTTGGGCTTCCACCTCGGTGTGCTTCCTACTGCAACACGCATGTGTAGCGGGGCAGCTCAGAGGCAATGTCTCCACCACATCTCTATTCCCACCCCCCGCCCCCCAAGCAGTGTCTGGCATGTCGCTGGCTCTCAGAAAATATTTGTTACATGAATTAATTCACTGTATTCCCCTCGCTGGGCCTTTGGCAAATGAAGGATAGCTTGTGGCTTTGCAAGAGTATTGTGCCCAGATACAATTTGTGATATAATTTTCTCATACCACATACAGGGGCTTATAGTTAGACTCTTTTATGGACTGTCGCAAAAATTAAAATGTTTTAGCTTCTTAAAAATGTATAGATAGTGTATATTTTTGAGGATATATCAGAGAGTAATGTACCACTTAGTGTGTGTTGTATTTTGATTTCAGGTAGATGGAGTAATCACAGGTTGGAGACAAACATCAAAGCCTGGGGAAAGTACCTTGGACAGCAGCAGAGAGCACACAAACCAAAGGTACCACCTCCCCAGCTGTCTTGAGCTTTATTATAGTTCTCTTCTAGAATGTACCTTCCCCAGAGATACAGTTATTTAAAGTTTATAAATGATTCATGCTGTGAATGTTAATGTTATTTCCAAAATGTAGACTCTTGATTTGTAGGGCTCTTGATCCATAAAAAAACCAATCTGTGTGTATACAGGCCCCAATTACTTGTGACGATAATGGTAAGAGTGGTGATGTCAGCACCAGTGACCACTAACATTGACTGAGCACTCACTTTGCATCAGGCACTGTCCTGTGTGCTTCACGCACTATTAACACACTTTGTCCTTCCCAATTTTATCCTCAGCTGACAGATGGGGCAAATGAGGGAGAGAAGTTTAGGATTCTGAAGGTTGGGTAGCCGTGACCTGTTGGGACAGCTCTGCTGAGCCCTGTTCATAATGCTGCTCATGGCCCGTATGTCACTTCATAGATGCTAAAACTCTCAGGGATGCAAGGGCCAAGGGGCCCCTTCATGTACCCTCCTGTCAACCTCCTACTCACAGGTCATCTTCAAGCCTCTGCGTCAACCCCTCTCCCACCTGCTCCCTCCCTGCTCTCCATACTCCCCAGTGGCAGGAAGCCTCTCCTCCATTCCCCACTGAACATTCTAGCTCTGCAGCCTGAACACCCTCAGAACAAAGCCCTTCTCCTGTGAGCAGTGAAATCCCTTAAAGTATTCTGGACAGAGCTCTCCTCATTTCAGTTCTTCCTTAGAATGCACATCCCAGGCCTTTCGGCTTTCCTTCTGCTTGTCATGATTTCCAGACTCTTACCATCCAGATGGCAAAATCTATTTTGAACCCAGGCAAACTATCTTTGTGATACAAATGTATATGCTGAAATTATCATCACAAAAATACCTGAACAAGAGCTATATTTATGTCTTGCATAATACAAGCAGTCAGGCATTCGTATATTCTGAGTCAACTGTGGAAGTTTTGTGGATTTTCCATACGGGTTTGTCTGAACAAAAGGTGTGGAGTTGAATTCCTTCTGAAAGGTGGGTTTCTGTTTTTAACCTTGGAGATCCACTCTCATATTTCCTAGTTTAGTGGCTTCCATGTCAGATATATGTGTAACTTACAGAGATTCAAGGGCATTATGCTATTATGAATATCCATGGTCATAATTGACCCCCAGCAGCATCCACACATGTAAGGAGTGTGAATCCAGTTTGTGAGGAATCGCAGGAAGGGGAAGCCAAGTCATGGCAAACAGCATGAAGCTGGTTTTCAGACCCTGGGAAGATCACCATTATAGTGATTACTTCCTACGTTACATTTGCAAAGCCTCTCTTGTTCATTTGTATTGCTGAGAAATAATCACCTCCCAGCTATGCATAACATATCTATGTGAGGGTTGTTCATGGCAGCACTCCTTAACCATTGACAAACTTCACCATCCACATCACCTCAGCCTCTGGCTGGGAGATCCCATGAACCAAATAGCTGCCTGTGGAAGCTGCACGTGGGAATGAGGTCAGGCAGCTGTGAGTTTGAGGGGGAGGAGGATGGCAGACCTAACGATAGACCTCTCATAGCCAGAGCGAGCCTTTGCTCTTGCTATGCAGACAGAGTGACTGGAGGGGAAAGATCAGTGGAGTAAGGTTCTGTTCACTGGGACCAGAGAGGATCATGTTTTGTGGGAAGGTAACCGATGCTGGGAACTCTTGTGGTTCCGTGACACTGTCTGATCAAGGAGGACACATAACTTGCTCAGAATGGTTTTACTGAGTGTGGAGTGCCTAGTCTGTGTTCCATGATATTCTCTGTCTTTCATCTTCAAAATTACTGTAAGAGAAATGGGGTTATTCCTAATGGACTGAGGTTCAAAGAGATTAATTTGCCCAAGATCACAAAGTTGCTAAGTGATAGTAGAGCCAGAATTATAAATCTTAGTCCATTCCTGGGCTTGCCTTCCTACTATATTCATGGTGTCTTTTTCTTTTTATAGACATTTTTCTTTAGAGCAGTCTTAGGTTCACAGAAAAATTGAGTGAAAAACATAGAGATTTCCCATAAGTCCACGGCCCCCACTCATGCACAGTCTTCCCCACTGTCAACATCTACCACCAGAGTGGTACATTTGTTACAACTGTTGAACCTACATTGACGCACATCATTATCACCTAAAATTCATAGTTTACATTAAGGTTCAAACTCAGTGTTGTTCATTCTGTGGGTTTTGACAAATATATAATGACAGGTATCTACTGTCATAATATCATACAGAGTAGTTGCACTGTCCTAAAAATGCCTGTACTTCACCCATTCATCCCTCTCTCCCCCACCCCCACCCCTGGCAACTATTAATCTTTTTACTGTCTCTCTAGTTTTACCTTTTCCAGAATGTCTTAGAGTTGGAATCATTTAGTATGTAGCCTTTTCAGACTGGCTTCTTTCACTTAGTAATATACATTTAAGGTTCCTCCATGTCTTTCCATGACTTGATAATGTATTTCTTTTTAGTGCTGAATAATATTCCATTATCTGGATGGACCACAATTTATTTATCCATTTGCCTACTGAAAGACATCTTGGTTGCTTCCAGTTTTGTGAAATTATGAATCAAGCTGCTATAAACACAGTGTGCAGGTTTTTGTGTGGACATAAATTCTCAACTCCTTTGGGTAAATACCGAGAAGTGCGATTGCTGGATTGTATGGTTAAGGGTATGTTTAGTTATGTAAGAAAACTGCCAAACTGTCTTCCAAAGTGGCTGTACCACTTTCCATCCCTGCTAGTAATGTATGAGAGTTCCTGTTGCTCCTCATTCTTGCCAGCATTTGGTGGTGTCAATGTTCTGGACTTTGGCCATTCTAATATGTATGTACTTGTATCTCCTTGTTGTTTTAATTTGCAATTCCCTGATGACATATGGTCTGGAGCATCTTTTCATTTGCTAATTTGCCAGCTGTACATCTTTGCTGGTGAGGTGTCTGTGAAGGTCCTTGGCCCATCTTCCAATCACACTGTTTTCTTATTGTTATGTTTGAGGAGTTCTTTGTATGTTTTGGTTAACAGTCCTTCATCAGATGTTTTTTGCAAATATTTTCTCCCAGTCTGTGGCTTGTCTTGTCATTCTCCCAAAATTGTCTTTCATGGAGCAGGAGTTTTTAATTTTAATGAAATCCAGCTTGTCAACTATTTCTTTCATGGATTGTGCCTTTGCTGTTGTACCTAAAGTGGTATCGTCATACCCAGGGTTGGTTAGCTCTTCTGTGTTCTCTTCTAGGAGTTTTACAGTTTTGCATTTTGTGTTTAGGTCAGTGATCCATATTGAGTTAATTCTTGTGAAGGCTGCAAGGCTTATGTCTAGATTCATGTTAAATATACCCATGTTGTATTAATTTTTTAGGTGTATGATACTTTGATGCTATCATAAATGTGTTTTTATTGCTAGTATATAGATTTGCAATTGATTTTTTTATCGTGGTAAAATACATATAACATAAAATTCACCGTCTTAAGTATCTAAAAGTATACAACTCGGTGGCATCTATGGCAATAATTTACAACCATCACCATTATGTAATTCACTTTTGTGTTTAATTTTGTACCTGGCAAACTCGCTGATCTCTCGTATGATTTTATTAATTTGTTGGTCCTTTTGGATTTTCTATATATCTACAGAGAATGATGACTTTCTTTCTTCCTAGTCTTGTATCTTTTATTTCTTTTTCATGCCTTAGTGTGTAGGGAAAGGCACCAGTACGATGTAGAATGGAGATGAATAGCAGGCATCTCTGCCTGATTGCCAGTCCCAGAAGAAAAGTTCAACATTATGCTATTAAGTCTGAAACATCTTATTGGTTTCATAATTCATGCTTTCATATTCAAAATCTGGGGTTGTTTCTATTTGTGTTCTTACTGCTTCTGCTTGTTCTCATGCAAAGTGCCCCTTTTCCTTGGGTGTTCGTTATTTTGATGGCGAGCTGCTCCATTGCCTTAGGAAATAGTTTGGGGGCTTCTCAGAAGCCTGGGAGGTGCTGAGCCTAGGAAAAAAATTGGCATGTGCTTTGGGGCAGACCCTACCTGAGGACACTGCCAGTTTGGAACCACTTCACTCTAAATTCAAGATTGATGGTTTTTAACCGTGGCTTTCCCAACACAGCCATTCTCTGTCCCACTCTTCTCACAGTCCCCAAGGTGGTGGGCAGAGTGGGTTTACTTTTCATTTACTCTTACAGAGTAAGAGTGACAGTGACAGAAAAGCCTTCTGGTAGATAGGGTGTCCTGTCAGACAGCTCACCTGGCACACTCAGGGCCTTGACCTCTGTTCCCAGACTCCATAAGGCCAGCAAGACCAAAAAGCACCACTTTAGGGGATCAGCAAAGTCCCTCAGGGCAAAGGTGGCTTCAGGGATCCACTTCCTCCCTCCTTCCTCCTTTTACTGAATTCTGCCCTTAGGGTTCCTTACTATCTTATCACATCTTTCCTGACCTCCCTAAAGTTTTTAGTGGGAGGCAGGAATCTTTGGTCCAAATATGCTAGCCTTCCGTATTACTAGAAGCAAGTTCTTTCCTTATGTTCTTTAATAAAAGGAATCAATCTCTGATGTGTTTTATGCCTAGTGATTTTAGACCTTTTCTTTTGCTTTCTTCCATGGTGATAAAAATATTCATTTTGCCTTCCAGTTATTCTTAATTAGACTCCAGAGGTTCTGGTGCTGACAGTCAGTTGGTGGGTAAAACTAAACTGGTAATGGGCATCTGTTGGGCGTCTGACATTGAAGTGGACAAAAGCCCCTCGCCTCTTTATTTTGGGATTAATGTGATCCACAGGTGCCCCTGGCCTATCTGCTCACTGTCCATTACCCAGAGACTCATGACCAATTAAAGTCCTCCATGCAAATTATTCCTCACAACATCTGAAGGGGGTGAGCATCTGGCTGAGTTCAGTGTTTATTACTAAGATCCAGAAGTTGTGGCCCAAGAGGTATATGCCTGGAAGTGAGATAGGCTGCTTTTCCTCAAAGTCCACATAATTATAATAGACAAATTTAGGTATTTACTTAATTAAGTCATAGATACGATAGCCTTTTAAATAAGAGCATGGGAATTAAAATGTAAAGCTATACTTAATAATGACTACATAGTTTATAGTGTACAGTCTGGGTCTTTGGAATATTTATGCTTTATATTCTTTGTATACATTACACTTTCCTTCAGCGGGTCCATGTGTATTAGTCAAAACACTGAGAAAAATCCAAAACTCAAGTGCCTTCAAGGGCTACTCAGCCAACAAGAATGAGGGGGGAAATGTTACAAGAACAACAGAGGGTTTACACTCTCCAGAGAAAGTCAAACCTCCCTCCCCACCATACGCTGTGTCTGAGGACATCAGTATGGGGCTCCTGGATGAAGCCGACTGTGATTTTCTGTAGGTCAAAGATGTCTTATTTAATTTCAGGATTGCACAGTAGTGTAATGTTTTTTCATTTATTTAACATGTATTCAGTAAAGCTATATACCAAAGATACAAGATGAAAAAGACAATATAATTGCTTCAAGAACGCTGGTCTAATAGGGAGAACAAACCAATAATGAGACAATTACATGATAATGTGATAAATGTTCTATTCGAGCTCTGTGCTGTACTGTTAGATGTTACTAGGAAACATGCCTATTTGCACAGACCATAGGATGGCTGGGGGCTGGAGTAGAGGCACTTAGTATATTCTGTTGAATGACTGACGGGATGACCAGTACAGTGATTCCAAAATAAGTTGATTATCAAAGGCACTGGGGGGAACTTGATATAAATACAGAGTACTGGGCCCAACCCCAGACCTACAGATTGAAATTACCAGGGAAGCAGCCCAGTGACCTGTGGTATCTAGAATTTTCTATATGATGGAGGCATGGGGATCTTTCTTGTTCTGTTTTCACATAACTGTCACCAAGAGAACTGAGTGCCGGCAGCAGGAGTGGGATCTTGTGGGGGAAACTGGTGGACAGAGCCTTCTAGGCACCCAAATGTATATAAATGCTCCTGCATGCAGGCTGGATCATCTAAAGCAGCAGGGTCCAGGAGCCCGATTAACTACATTCAGGAGTAAGACCTGTCCATAGTGGTTCTGTTATTGATCCTGGCTGTGGGGTTTGCCTGCTGTATCATTTAAAGATACCTGGCTGGCTTAGTCAGTAGAGCATGCCACTCTTGATCTCAGGTTGTGAGTTCGAGCCCCATGTTGGGTATAGAGATTACTTAAAAATTAAATCTTTTAAAAAGTGAATAAATACAGATTCTCAAATGAGCAGAGTCTCCTAGCCTACCTCCCCAGCACTTTACTTCTCCACTCTTGCTCCTGCAAGGCTCTGAGCTTCCTGAAACCAGGGACAGTCTCTTATTGTATCTCTATGCTGTATGTTCTATAAGCATCTCTATGCTGTAAGGATAGCATTTGCCGATGTTTGCTGAATGAATGAATGATTGACTCTGTTTGAAATTTCATTTAAAAAGGCATCTCAATTTCCTTTTGCCTCTTTTGCTGTTGTAGAAGCAAGCAAATTGAGAAACTAGAAGTAGATCCTAGCAAGCATTCCTTCCCTGATGTGGCTAACATAGTTCAAGAGAAAAAACACAGGCCCCGAAGAGTTCAATCTGAACCCAAAATTACAGCAAGTGAGGAAGATCCCGACTTTGAAGATAACCCTGAAGTGCCTCCATTGATTTGAAACATCAGGCTGCATCGATGGACCCACCAGACCCAGTTCTGTTCATTGCAGAGTGTGCGCAGACCATTTATGGTAAACACAGAGTTATTTATCAACATTACTACTCCAGTGTTTTAGCTTCTACTTTATACAGTAATATTCTTAAACTAGTTTAAAATTCAAATGTACACCTTAAAATGCTATAACTCATTTGTCTATAATAAAATGCTCCTAGTGCAAATGTTCTGTAAATCAAAGAACTATTACATTAAGATGTTGATTTTCAATCATAGGACTGGCTGCTAATGCAGACAGATGAAGTCAGAGATAAAAGGCCTGATTATTAAATTGGTACTTCAGCAAATTGGTCAAGCTCAGAAGTTAAAACTGTAATTTCAGATCGAATTGGAATGCTTTAATATGATTTTAGCAGTGTTTCAATTTTCTTCTCATGATTATTGGTGGTAATACCTTGGAATGATGAAGAGGAGAGCGAGCAGGGGTAGGAAGGGAGAACCTCTAAGGCTGTAGATATAGGCTTGACATTTGCAAAATGAGGGGAAGGAGGTGGAGGGAGGGGGATGGAGGGTGGGCTAAATGGAGCCTTGGGATACAGTGCGGCCCTGAGAGCACTCCAGCCAGCCCAGCAGGAGCTCTAGCACAGGGTTGTCCACAGAAGACGAGCCTCTTGGGTCAAGATGACCGAGCCCAGCTACCCCTGCCATATTCAGGTCTTGACCAGTGGCTCCCTGCCCTGAGAGTGGTGGCCAGGGCGGGAGGCTTTTGGTGCTCTGTACTCCTTGTGTGGGTTCTCTCTTGGGGAGAGCTGAGCTGGGCACCTCTGTCGTGCCACCAGGAGGTTGCAGAAGCTCCGCCAGCCTTGAGGAGGCTGTCCTGAGGGCTTATGGGAAAGAAGAAAGTGCTCTTCAGTGCTGGGGGAAAGGAGACCCCTGGACATCAAGGAGGAAAGGGTAGCAGAGCTGTTGCCTGGGGTCACATGGAAATATTGTAAATGTACCTCCTGCCTGAGTAGGTGTAGGGAAAGAGATTTCCAAGTAGAATGCCAGAGGACCACTAGTGCTTTTAGCTCCAAATCAAAAGACACAAATAATTGGTCCATTTTCAAGCAGCATTTAGAGAAATTATAAAGGAACTGGCTAGGTTCAAAAATAAAACTTTTTCATCCCAGTCTCTCCCAACTGAAATAAAAGACAGCCTCCCCCTGACTGAAACACATTGTTGTTTTGGGTCTCCCAGGAACTACCAGCAGTTTAGAATTGGTGTCTAGTAACCCCTGAAAACTCTGTTTATCAATGTACAGTCATCCAGGGTAAGTGCAGGCCTCTTTACAGAAGGCTAGGAGGATGATTTACAGGATAAAATCTGGGCAGTGTAGCAGGGATCTCCAACGAGGTCCAACCATGAGGTAGTGAGCCATGTGCATACCTGGGGGAAGAGTGTCCTAAAAACTGAGAACAGCATGTGCAAAGGCCCTGAGGTAGCACATGGTTTCAGGAACAGCCAGTAAGCCAGGGTGACTGGGGCAGGCTGAGCAGGGCAGAGTATCAGAGAAGGGGTGGGAGAGCTAATGGAGAGGCGGCCCTGACAATGCTTGATCTAAAAAGGCAAGCCTACCACTGGGCAATCATATTGCTCCCAAAAGAGTGTCTTTGGATTTTGTAGCATTTTGTTTTTGGGTTTTTTTGCCAAATATTTTCTTATACCCATCTCATTTTTGATCTTAGGAGAAATCCTCTCAACTAAGCATTTGGTCGTTTTTCATTCAGTAGGAGTGTGCCTACCGTGGACCAAGTGCAGGGAGTATAATGGTGAACCCAAAGCAACATCTCTTGGGTTTCACTGAGCTTATATTTTTGTGACTCAAACAAATGTGGATCAATTATACTAGCAAACTGAGCTAACTTTTCTGAACCCACTGTCATGTTTTACAACTGAGACTCCCAAAGATCAGGTGGCTTGCCCTAAGATAGCACAACAAGATGTTAGAATGAGATTCTCATTAAGTCATTTTTGACTGCGTTTCTAATATGAAAGATTTTTACCTACCAAAGTGAATGAGATGGTTCACATGACAATGTTTTCAAAGAAAATGCACAAACTTACTTCATAAATCTTAAAAAGACTCACTCCCTTTGGAAATATGAAAAGAAGTATGAGGGTAGAGGGGCTTTGTGGGGGATGATGTCTTTGGGGGTGAAGATGGACGAACACATGTCTTTGGAGAGAGCTGTTACCTTTCTGTGAGCTCCACCTCCGATTCGGGGCTCTTCCTCTGTAGCCCAAGCTTAGTGAGAGGGCCTTCAAAGGGTTGAACCAGGGAGTTTTGGAGAGTTTCCTGAAGTTTGGGGACACACAGGCTGGTGCTTGACTCATGCCTGAGAAACCTGAAACTGAAGGTGGGCCAGAGTCCCATCCTGCTAGGGGAATCATCCATGGGACCAGAGAAAAGCTGTGCCAGAGGAGCGGAGAGTGTGGCCCCCTCCCACAGCTGGCTGGGGACAGGGAAGCATGAGACTTTTCCAAGGACTAGATGTGGGTTGTCGTGGGCTCTGTCCATTTGGGCCGTCTGGAGGGGTGAGGAGCCCAGGGAGGAGGCTGGAGGCATGCCACTGCACACGGGGCTGAGGAAGGAAGCTCAGAGGACTGCCCAGGACCAGGAACATAGTTGAGGGGCAAACGGGGAGCCTCTGAAGAGTCCATGAAAGGGCCTCAAGAAGGAGAATAGTCAGCTTCATTTGTCCTCTAGGCTAGCAGAGCAAGAAGCCTGGCCAAGCCAAGTGAGGACCACCTCACCTGTACCAGTCAAGGTCCTGGCAGTTCCTAGCCTTGGACTTGAATGGGTAAAGAGAGAGAGTGGTCACCCAGTCCCAGAGAGACAACTGAAGACAGTAGATAGCCAGCAGGAACTGGGACCTTCTTCTAGGGATGCAGCCCACAGGGATGAGCTGGGGGAATAAACATTGTGACCTTAATTTCCTCCTCCCTCCAATCTCTTGCTAGAGCTTCCCACCGGCCAAACCTGACCAGAAGCCAGGGGCAAGGGAGCCTGTCCGTGTGGCCGTCAGAGGTCATGCTCCCAGGGTCCACAGCATGGTAGAGGGCGGCAATGGATGGAGCGCACACGCTCCCCCTCCCCTCTCTCCCCTCACCTGCCCCCGCCCTCCTGACTCCAGGATGGTCCAGGGCAGGGGAGGGAGAGGAGTGGAGAAGGTTAATGCCAGGGTGGTGACTTTACTGAGCAGAGACCGGGAGCACTGAAAGGCCTCTATTCCCCAAGAGTGGGAGGAAACGTCTGTAGGACCTGCCTACATCTTCATTCGGGGCAGGGCCACCCTGTTGAAGAAAGAGGAAAGGAGGCATGGGAGACACAAATACATTGTTTTAATCACTTGCTGCAAGGTGAGCATTCAGCGTTCCGTTTATGCAAATACTACCCCGCTTCCGGAACCCGGAGCTCTGGCTGCTCTCTGTGGGCCCTCCCTGCGCCTTCCTCCTTACTTCTGCTTTGGCCCACTTCTTGCTTCCAGAAGGCTCATTGCTTCTGCGCCCACACCAGCGCCTCCAGGGGCAGGAGAGGCCCCAGGAGAGGGAAAAATCTCACGGATGTGATGCCAGCTTCTGGTCCTGTTGCCCAGATGCCCTCAGGTCCACAAACCTTTCCTCCTGCTTCTCTGTAGGTGGTGTTGAGCAGCGACAACTGTCCTTTCTCCACCATCATGTCCCCTTGTGTCCCACACAGCTGTTTCCCTCTCTGCATCCCGCTCCTGGCAGTGGGACCCTCGCATGTGAGTGGCCTGTGAATGACATGAGACCACTGACCGTGGCGGTCACAGGGACGGGGCGGGGAGTGCTGCTCTAGCTCCAGGGCCTGGGTTGCGGTGCCCTCCTCCCCCCCATCCCCCCGTCCCCACACATTAAGCCTGCCCTCCGCCTGACAGCAGGGGCCGCGCCACGCAGCGCATGTCTGTCACCATTTGCAGTCTGTCACAGCTTGCCTGACACATTTGGATGGAAAGTGCTAGCCGTCTCCAGTTGATGCCTGTCAGGCCAACGTGTCTGACACTCCTGGAGCAGACCTTAGCCAAAAGTAGCTGTTCTTTTCCAAATTCACTCCCTAACTTTTGCTCCTCCAGTTTGGTCTGGTGTTTTCCCTGTGTGAGAGGTAAACTTCCCTTGGCCCTGCGGCTGGGTCTCTTCACTCGGCAAACATTTACTGAGCACCTGCTAGGTGCCCGGAGCCATATCAGGTGCTAGGGCAAGTTGTCTTCGGAGAGCCCACTCTCCCAGTTCTCGCCTTCCGTCCATAACTGCCTCCTCCATCCTTCACGTACAGCCGCCCCAGGGTAAGCCCTTCGGCCCCGTCCTCTTCTCCGTGGGTACGCTTCCCCTTCCGGGGACACGTGGGCCCATTCCTGGGGCTTCTGCTGCCAGCTCTTGGCTGACGCCCCCTGCAATCCCCGTTTCAGGCCTTCGATGCTGTCCTAAAGTTCACCTGACTCCTCCTGGTCCAACGCTTAGGTCATCCATCAACTTCTCTCTTCTTTTCCTGCCCCTTCACCTTATTCTGCCTCCTGGCCTCTGGCTCTTGTTTTACGCCTTCACTTTCCATTCACGCATATTGGAAAACACCATCACTGCTTCCTGTGCTCAGCATTCATTTGGTAACGAAATCCTGTCTGTTCTACCTCGCAAAGAGCTTCTCCTGTCTTCTTTAAACCCATTTCCACTGCTTGCATTCAGTCTCCCATCATCCCCTTGGCAACATGACCGCTACCTCACCCCTCCTCAACTTAAACACCCCCTTGGACTGTTGCCCAGAGGACAAGATCTGGACCCCATCCTGCTGTGAGGCCACATCTCCCACCACTTGCCCCTGAGCCCCAACCTACCCATGACACCAGAGTTAGCACCATTCACGAGAGCCATGTGGGGGTTACCCATGCACAGACGCTCTGTCGGTGGTGTCACTGAGCTGAGGCTGGTGATGCGCTGGATCTGAG